ACGGTAAATGATAAACGGTTTGAATATTTTTGAATTTAAAATTTCCTTATGAGCTAGGATTGAGAGTAAACTGTAATTTATTTTTCACCCCGAGAACTCGTGAATTCATAACATAACCTCAGTAAACATTTACAAGCGGAAATAAAAGGGCAAGAACAAAAATTTAAATATGAGTGAATCAGGAAACATTCCGAAAAACGAATTAATGGATCTTCCAGAGGAAATCCTTCTTTATATTTTGAAATTCGTAAACATATCATCACGTTACAATGTTTCGCAAGTTTGTAAAAAATTCTATGAACTGGTATGTACATTGGAACGAGACTGTCTGCCAGTAGAACTTTCATATGAACAGGTGAGTGAGAATTTAGGAAACTTAAACGAAAAATTTGAATTGTCATGATAGATATCAGGAGGATGCAAAACGGACGGCAGTGACTAGTCAGCACAACCCAATTTCCGTTGGAATTGGAAAGTGTTGTCATTGTCATTTGCCACAAATGTCCATTGCCTCCCGCCTGTTTTAACAGGCGGGTGTGGGTCTTTTCAGACCCTGTCTTAGACCTGATGATGATGATGAATTTTCATTGGAATTTTATTTGCAGATTTGTGACGGAAATATTTACAATTCCATCATTAATACATCTCGAATGTTCACTGATTTGACAATAATTATTTCTGTTGATGTTGTATCAAACATAGATCGCATCCTAAACATATTGATGAAATTTGGAGGCAGAATTGAAAAATTTACATTCTCAATCAAGCCAAAAGTTTTAGAGTCACAATTGGCTAAAATGTTAAATTACATTCCCAATGTTGAAAAGTTGACTTTTGAAGATATTTGTATAGAACATGATGTGAATTGGAGTGATGAGCTTCATTTATATAAACTTAAGAAGCTAGCAATAGAATCAGTCAATGATTATCCCATAATGTTCAACCAGGTACCAAAAGATGTAATAACAGATATGTTCATTGACTTCTCATTCCATGAAAATGAAAAGAACTTCCAGCAATTTCTCAATCGACAAACGCAAATAACAAAACTCGTGTTAGACATTTATTGCGAAACTAGCTTATCAATAGTGAAGAACTTTTCTAAACTAGAACATTTGTATATAAACTTTAATGAAGAATATGAGATGCATATTGCAAAGATGATACGACAAAACCCAAAGCTTCGCTCTCTGAATTTGAACATCATTTTTAATGATAATGATGATGATTCTACTGGAAATGAAATTTTTACATCAATTTGCGAGTTAAAATATCTTGAATCACTTGACATAAGCATTGATAACATATCTGTGGATGTTTTTAAATCACTCACAAAAATCAATAATCTAAGAGAACTTCATTTGAATTATAAATATGATGACGACCAAATGGATAGCATTATTTTCGAGCTAAGTATGATGAAATTGTTACAGATTGAAACGTTATCAATTAAAACCAGTGAACCAGATGAACTCTTTTACACAACAATTCCTCGAGAAGTTATTTTTCAATTTAGTCAAAACTTTCAAAATTTAAAACATTTGAGTTTCGAGAATGATTCACTTAATATCATCGGCACTGTTTTAAAGTATTTTATCAAACTTGAAACGTTTGAATTCGAATGCAATAGTTTGGATAATGATGATCAAGATATTTTTGTCATCGATGAAGATTTAAAGCATGAAAATCTAAAGGAATTCACAGTTAATCACATTGCAAGCAAAAACACGAATTCAATCCTAAATGCTATCAGTGCTTGCCCTAATCTGGAACTAATTGAAATATTTGATATATGTGAGATTACTCATGAAGAATTCCAGCAAATTGTGGATGATCATCCCAAGCTAAAATGTTTAAGAGTTGAAATGGACGAATTCAACTTTCAATATAAAACGGCTGAACTTATTCAATCTGCTGCTAGAAGACTTCAAATGATTTCGCTATCTGGACTCAGCCCATTTTTATCGTTTGAAACTATAAAGGAACGCTTTAAGGAGGAATTTTCTTGTATCAAACAGAACTTTAATGAAACAAAAACCGCATTCACACTTAAGATGAAGAAACGAGGTCCATATTTTTAGGATAAATATTTTTTTTCAATTATTTGTAATTAACTACCTACCTACATTCTATTTTTATTATCATCATTCTCATCAGCTGCTTCATTAATTTCTAAAGAAAATATATACACTTACATATATAAACATTTTTTGATGATTTCGGAGCATTTCCAAGACTTCATCAGGAAGAGTGCTTGGATTGATTGTAGGATTGAGTACCATTGACTGAAGTCACTTATGCATTTATTATATTTATGTAGATGTCAATGAAACTGACATTATTGATTGGGATGACAACAAAGATGAACTCGATGTATTAAGCTCAGCAATGTTTTGCGCATTTTCTTGTGAATTTTTTGTTGCTGTGGATTCAAACTCCTTCTTATGCTTGTCAATGTATTATGAAACAGGAATCATTGTATTGGAACATTCAGAAAATTTCTCTGGCTTTTTTTATTTTATCATTTTTGTGATCAGAAGCAATGAGAGAAATGTGAAAATTATTCTTGAAAATCACTAAATCCTGTTTCAACATTTTTTTAAATAGGTTTTAAGCTCATATTTTTCCTTCAAAGTTTGCAAGAAGATTGAGGCTATTCAGACATGCCCAGACTAAATATTTGCCATCATTTATGAACATGATAAATCTTTTGTTTTGTAACGTGTTTATCTAAATTACAACATGTAGGTACCTAACTTGAGATAAATCACAATGTAAATTAACGACTTTCTATTTATTGAACATGAAGCCAAATAAAAATTAAATTTAACCGGTTCAAAACATTAAACACCAGAAAATCTTAAATTTCCGTCTGTCATAAAATTATTAAATAACTGCTGAGTTTTCTTATATATTTTTCTTAAAGTTTTCATTGAATATTTCAATGTTTCTTGCAAATCGTCACATAATCGAGTTTAAGATAGGGAGGAATAAAATAACGTTGGTTTATTTCAAAATTGTGCTAAGAAGGAGTTAGAGAGCGCATTTATGGTGTTTTACAACTCAGTTTCTTACTTATCCATTTGTGGATGGTGATTTATGAAACTTAAGAAATTGAAAGCTACTTGGATTTTTGAGATTATTTAATTTAACAGAAATGTTACAATCAAAATTATAATCAAAGTACTAACAAATTCATCATGTTAAAAAGTGTTCAAATGTGGAAAAAATCTAAAATTCCTATCTAGTTCAAATTGTCATAAATCTTAAAAATCGAATTTCCCATGCTTATTAAAACAAAAGAATTAATTGATATTTCACGAAGCCTCAGAGATCAAAGTTAATTGGTTATGTGAATCACAAGAACAAACATTCTTTTTCATTGATTAGCGAGTAAAGACAATTATAAAAAATTAGTCAACAAATATCTGCAACAACGAACAACAACAAAACTTCATTTCCTGTACAGAACTCAATTGAATCACAATATCTGAAATTAGATGCAATCATCAGCCAGATAGTAAGGAAGGTAAGTTAATTCAAAAGTAATTGAGTTAGAATAAAAAGCGAAGAAGTCTTGAAGAAAGTGTTTCATCTGCAGTTTAATTACCTCTGCTGTTCATATCTGAAAACTTTCCAAACGAAAAAAAATATAAAAAGAAGAAAAACAAAATGTTACGTTACATCTCACCATCAGTCGTGAAGAAAAGTGTAGAAACTAAATATAGCTCAACTGAAACATTTATTTGCTAATTGGGTTAGAGAAAAAATCTTGTATTTAGTTATGGGATTCTTACAACTTTCTACAGACAATGCTGAAAATATCTCGTAGTAGATATTCTAATTGCGTTATAAAGGAGCCTGAAAGTGTGAATGTTTATGTTTGCAATTTAAGCTCATTATGTCGCTCTTATGACTCCTCATAATCTTCAGTTTTACCTTAAATTAATACGGAAAGAAGACACAAAAAATATGAAACAAGTCGTTTATGTGGAAGTAGGTAATAAAGGTGGTTTTACAACTTACAGAATAAAGGAAAACACTGAAAGTGCATTCTTTCCTTCATTGTTTATTTTCATCTGAAAATATTTGAGTTAAAAATTTATAAAAAAAATTTTTTCTAGTTTGTTTTCATTCAACTTCTGCTTGGAAAATTAAAAAAGCTTTGATAAAAGCTGCAACGAAACATTCTTTCAATGGATTCTGCTCTCTACCTTAATTTAATCCATGCGATAAATGCTTTCAGTATGAAGCCTTATTGTGCAAGAAGCACCTTTTGTTTAACAGACTGAAAAATGTTTATCCACCTTAAATCTGTCGTATTTAGTTGTTGACTTTACAAAAATTTATGAATATTAAAAATAATTCGTTGATGACAGAAACGATAGAATTTCTAAGTGAATTTATTTGGTTTCGCTGAAAATCTTATCAGCAAATTTGAGTTCAAAGAAACAGTGCTCTAAAAATGCGCAATCAAATTGGCTTACACATTACAAATTAAATTATTCGCTTCAAAATTACGTCAAAGTTAAAAATCATAAACGCTTTTTTATTTCATTTTCAGCAAATACAAAGTTTAAACTTACACGGTATCAGCGTAAATACTTAAGATAATGATAAAATCCAATAGAAAATATAAGTAATAAAAATCGAAGTGCACTGATAAGTTATCAACATTCGATATTTATAAATAACTCAATTTTATTCTCAAAAATTTATTTAACAGAAAAAATTCACAACTTTCGCATTAGCTTATCATTCATTCACTTAGAAACAAAGTATTTTGTTTAGAATTATTTTATTAATTTGATTTTAAATAGACATGTTATGTTTTGCACATTGACTAAATTTTAAGATGATGCTAAAATTTTTCTTCAGGCACTAAACATTTAACATTCAGTTTGATAACTTTCTTACTATTGCATAGAAATTATTATAAATAGTTCTCGGAATCTTTTCTCACTCATTATTCGAGTTAATTAACTTTCTCTATCAAATAATTTCGCTTTGTGAACTTCTAAGAAACATATTTTGCTGCTTTTTCTAAATAACGAACTAAATGCTTCATTCTACTGAAATAATTTACTTAAGACGATATTAATAAGATATATTTGGAAGTGATAATGACAGTAATTGAGTGTGTTTCAATGTCTAATTAATTATTTTTAAACTGAAGAGCTTTTGTGCTGTAGCATAAAATTGTCAATGATTGTACTTCAAATAAGGAAGGTCATTGAACTGCTCTTAACGTTTTTCCTAAAAATAAAACGAAATCTTAATGAAGTCACAAGATGTCTAATCATACATAACCACTAGATTTTAACTTAAGAGCAGTTTCGTAGGATGGTAATCCTGTTTGATCTATAATTTGTCTCATATCCAAACGTATCAAACCATTACGATTAATTGTATTCAAGTCCACATTCTCATGTTGTCGACAATTTCCATTTCTATCAATTTCGCACGTTCTATTCTCATCTTCGACTTCATGCTGGCTTTGCAATCGTTCGACGCTTAATGGTACTGAACATGCAACATAATGTGTTGATGTTGATGTAGAAGGCGATGATACAGAATCCAAATGACAACTGTTGCCGCTGCAGTCATTGTTGTTCAATTGATCATTCAATAAATCAATTTCTGTTGACATTGGATTCCTTTCATTTAATGGACAATTGTCTAGTTCCATATTACGGGCAGTAATTAATGCCTCTAGACATGCAACTGCATTACTGTTAACATTATCTGCACTTCCAATCACATTACTGCAGTTTGTGCATAAAGTTGTTGTGAAGTGTTGATTAATTGGACAACTGCAATTACAAAGTGATGTCACACTCGATGGACTTAACATGTCGTCATTCGTTTCATCGAGGCTCACTTGTGGTGTCGTTGTAGTTGATGTTGGTGTCGTTAAATTGTTTCCCATACAATCCTTTATATCAAAGCCTGGATGATGTTGATGACGATGATGATGATTGTAATTATGGTAACCCTTGAATGTGTACAAGTTTTTTCGCTTCCGCGAGATTACTTCATCCAAAGCCATTACACAGTCATATGAAGGTGGCGGCTCATTGTGGAGCGTAATGGCTGGTAAATTGTCATTCTCTGTGTATAATCCTGATGTATCGAAATACTAAAATAGAAAACAAAAAGAAATGTTAAAAGACGGAAAAGAATTGTTTAATGAATGCAATTTATCAACAATAACAAAACAACGTCATGAGATTTGCTTCCATCTATGCACGTTAGTATTAATGCGAAATGATGTTTCGAACAATATTTAATGGAAATGACTCAAGGAAAGATTATAACTGTTGGTAAAATTGCTTTCCTCGAGTCTATGGCATGAATAAAATAGTTGAGATCAACATAATGCTGAAGTTTTGACGTAATTAAAAGGGGTGCGTAGGTGGTGAGTTCTCAAAAAAGATTTAATTTCACAAAATTTCTCATTGAAAGCGAAATCAAATACACATAGGAGGCTTAATGACTTTTACAAAATTCAATTAGTGTTTCGACGATGTTCATCTAACTGAAACACCGAAGTCATCAAACAATACGAAGATGGCAATTCACATCCACATGTGAATGATAATTAGCATGTATAACTTTATAACTTGTAATTATGCCATTACTGCGGTTCTCTACACTGGTTGTTACGTTAAATGGTTATTTGCTTTGAACTCGCTTTTATTCATCACGTCTAGATTATTTAAAAGCTTTGACATTTGTTATTATTTGTGTAAAGCCATATAATGTTTCTGTTAAACAACTGTTACCTATCAAAGGATTCTAAACAAATCAAGATGAAGCTTTAGTTGTTGAAAAACATTTAAATTGTAATTTCACCAAGTTTTGATTGAACGTCAGAAAAAGAATTATTTCATTAGATCATTTAAATATATTTTTACAATTCACAATGAGATAAACATTGTTTTTAGTTGAGATTTGATGTTGACAGCATTTTATTCCAGTTGTAATTCAAGAGGAAGGAAAGTTTAGTTTTCAACAACCAGAAAATGGAAACTCGTTGAAAACTTTTCCTTCCTATTAAAATTCTATTTTTAATATTGTATGTTTCGAAAGAACATTAATAATATTATGAGAAGCTTATAAACGATAAACCACTAAGCGATAAAGTAATAAGTAGTAACATTTATCTTTATGATATGAAAAGCGTAACTCACCTGTTCAACACTATAAATTTCCATATTCGGATCATTATCAAGCCATCGCTGTTGACGGTAAAGAGATGATGTCGATGATCGCATTTTTATTTTACGATGACAACAATAACAAATCAGACAAACGATTGTCGTAACCACTGTAAGCATCGCCCTGTAATTGACGGGAGAAAATGACAAGAAATTATTGAATTGGCCGACTCTCTTAATTTAATTCATTTCCGACACACCACGTGCTGATTTGAACTTTCCGTGCGGAAAATGATTTTCCTTCTTTCATTCCTTACATTTTTTTATTTCGTCTTTTTTTTAAGATTATTGATTTTTTTTTTACGTTGTTTTTCTTATAGTGAATGTTATAAAGTTTGTAATTGGAACGGAAAATGTTTCAATAAATTATTTAAGCTCACTTTTCTCAAATATCTGCAATTAAGTTTAAGACAACTTTCAATGTTCTGTTGAATTGTTCTTTTCAAAGGAAGAATATCTGTTAAAGCCTTTGCAAGTTAAACTACTGAATGATCCATGAAAACCTTCTTTGTTTGTAACAACAAAAAAAAGAAGAAAACAAGAAAAAAGGAAAACCATTTAAAAAAATGAAAAGAACCGAGTTTTCAATTACGCTGTTCAAATCTTTTTCTTTTACACTATGTAGAAAAAGGAATGAAAAAAGCTTCAGTTCATTGAAATAAAAGAAATGATGGGAAGATGATTGTGTCTGTAAAATGGTTCAATTCTGACGTGTTTCTTATGTTGCTATTCGTATGTTGTTTAGGGAGAAATAAGAATGAATGAAGAACACTCATTGCCTTTTATAATCATAAAACTTTAAAGGAAGACATTTGCTATTGTGTTTGAATGTAATATGCGCTTGGAATTTTTGCAGTGTCTTCTTCGACTTCACAGTAAGTTTGTGTGGAGAGTCGTAAAGCTTTCCAATATCATGAGCGCAACAAAAAAGAAAAACATATCGCGTGACAATCTAAAAAAGCAAATATCTAAAAATACAAAAGCCATCATTCTCAACGTTTCCCACGAGAAATGGCCCTCCTTGCGATTCTCATTGCAAATAACAACGTAGAGCATTTTTGCGATTAATATCGCTAGCTGTGTTTGTATCTCTTTCGTCAGTCTCGCATCAAAGGTGGGAATCAAAAAGGTGAAAGCAATGTGTTGCTATTGATTTTTGTTTTTGTAGTGTAAAAGAAAGAAAAGTGAAAAAAATGAAGCTTTCGACTTTTATAGTTCATGCCTTAATTGTATGTTAACCTCCCCCAGCGACTACCAATGGTAGATTAAACTATTGATTTTTTCCATGCGTTACGGACAGTTAGGGAAGCTTTTCCTGGAACTTTTTTAAATGACTCATTCATTACTTTTTGCGTCAGCTTAAGGTCATTAAAAGTCAAGAAATTATTTTCACTTCTACTTCTTTTTTTCCCTGCGACCACAAGGACTTTAACAGAAACATTTCTTAATACATCCTGAAATTCTTGATTCAAACAATGAAGAGATTTCATTTCATAGTTCAAGGGATCTCAGCATTGTTCAATAAAAATGTAGCTTATGCTTTGTATACTATACGAGTACATAAGGGCTGAGGGTAGTTTATGAACTGCGAAATTCAATTTAAAAGCTTGCAGTTGAAGAAGTAATCAGCATTATTGCAGATTATATTGATGGATCCTTTAAACTCCATATTCATGATATAAACTTCTGAATAGAATCCTTCATGTGAACCGTTTTTAATGAAAGCTTTTTATGCTATTGATATCGAATGTAGTCAACATTGTTATCTCTTCTTTTTTTTATTAGCTTTAAGCTTTATCAAACATATAACGAAACGAAATATTTCATGTCAATAGCCTGACAAAAGTTTGTGCTTCCAATTTCGTCTTCCGTTAATTAAGTTTATTTCGAGAATTGATCGATCAATTTGAAAAAAATGAACACACAAAAGCGATTGCTAATTAATTAAATGGCAAGAATCCTTAGAAAAAAAAAACATTCGCACATTGTTAAACATTTTTTTCTTTCTTTTTTGATTGATCATCGTGTAAGGCATCACAATAAAACTCAATTTTCATTACCCTCCGAGAAGAATGTTAACGTTTCCATGAAAACCTCCAACACCTGGTCTCATAACTCTTAAGCCTTGATTGTTGAAATTTTTGTTGCTATGGTTGAAGTTGGTTGCAGTGTAAAAATCTGTGGCATTGTACTGAGAATTAATATTGCCAGATGCCAGTGAATTCCAAGCGGTGTTATTTGTTGATTGTTGTTGATTAGCATGCGAAACGGCAAGTAAAATTGCCGTACGTTTCAGTGACATTTTTAATCAATTAAATGCGGATGATCAATTTATCACTTTGTTTCATCTTCACTCGTGCTTGAATATTTCATTTGACAATTTCAATTGGCTCGTTTTAATTCCCTTGATAGATCAAAGAACTGTTCAATTAATCGATCACTGAAGCTGATAGCAATAATCACACATATTCACTAGTCATGATAGCGCGCGAAAAATCCTTCTTATCATTGCGGTTTCTTACAACCAACTGAACATTTGAACATTCCGAACATGAGTGAAAACAATATTTTCCTTTTTTCTCTCGCGCTTTTATTTTTCTCAAATCCTCCACATAACTATCGTATGCTTGCTATTTTACTGAGAACGGGAAAATAAAGCAACCGTAAAACGGCACGGAGAAAACTTCAAGCTACAATTCCTTTCGTATATCAAAACCTTTCTCATTTCTCTCTGCTTTCATTATTTTTAGTATTATTATTATTATTGAAGGTTTTTCGTCTTCCCTTTCCATCATTTTCAAGCTCCATCATTTTTTTCGTTTTATTTATTTCTTTGCATAAAAATATGTTTATTCGTAAGCCGAAGAAAAAGCACATGGGGGAAAATTGTTTTGTTATTTTTGGCATCAAGTGACTGTCATGATATCAACAAGAAGAATTGATGTTGGATTTTGTTTTCCTTTGATTGCAAAATTTAACAAGCTACTTTTAGCTGAATGATGAAAAATCAGAAATTCTTATGAATCTTATTTTGATATTCTTATTCTACTTGTAATGTTGTGGTTTTAAGCTAAAAACTATGAAACTGGTTGAGAGACATTTAATAAAATATTTTTGTTTTATAGCAGATAAATTGCGATCCAACAGTAACTTCATTTCATATCGCGTGAGTCTTTAAGTAATAAAAGTCATCCTGATATCGACTTATTTAAAGTTCTTTATTTCTAGACTACAATCGTTTACTTAGAGAAAGAACAAAAATAAATATTTTTTTAAATGTAAGCATGAAAGAGAGAAGTAAAGTCAAATAGCATTTTGTGCTTCATTCTAATGGTCTGGTTTGTTTGAAAGTGTTTTTTCGAGAATCATGACAAATAGTTTAGTATTGCGACGCCGTATTTCCTCGGAAGAATGAAACGAAAAAGCTTTGTTATGACATCGTCTTTTCCACCTGTTTTGCTACTTGTCAACTAAAGCTTTTGTTATTGTCATCACTGATAAAAACGATGAGATTACTTCTTAACAAGCTCACCTGAATTTTAATTAATTTTTATTGACTGCTTAACAGGTCTGACCCTCGCTTCATACAAACACAGATCTAACAATTTCATAGTCATAGAAAATAATTTTTTTTCTATTCAGTTGTGAAACAATCGTGAAACGTGAATGTTGGAATTGAAAAAACAGTCGATCACGATAAGTAAATATAGTTAAATGAAGCAAAAAATAAAAGTAAATAAAGCGAATGGTAAGGGAACCGATCAATGTAAATTTTATTCCGCTTTAACATATGACAAAATGTAAATTTGAAAAACGTTTGTCTTCCTTTTCCAGTAACTTCAGTTTATTTGTCAGTTAGTCTAACTAGGATAGCTGAACAGTTTGCAAGATTTTCTTTTATGTTTTTCTGGTTTCGAAAGCTTTCCTTTTGAATTAAAGTTTGAACGAGTGTAAGGCAAGACAAAAAAAGTTTTCTATCGTTCGCTTTTCCCAAGACTTTTCATTCGATTTTCAAATGATTTATTTATCAGTTTAATGGGAAAACAGATTTTTGTTCTGGTAGGTTGTGAGTGAAAAGAAGAAGAAAGTCGTGAATTGTTCTATACTTATTCACAACATTAAAAATTCATTGAATAATCACTGCATTTCCATGTTTGAATTTGTAAATAAAAAAGAAATGAGGTTGATGGTTAAAGACGAAAACAGAAGGAAGAAAATTGACAAAGGAGGACTATCTACACATGCACATATGAAAATTTCATGAAATTATTCTATGATTCTCGTTATTGAAAGTATTCACGAATTCTACACAAGTCTTAGAGTCTCAGATTGTATATTTTTACCATAAAAAAGGAGAATCATTGAGAATATTTAGTCGATAATTCTGGCAATCATTAGGATACTAAATTGTCTGTTATAGAGATCGTGTTAGAAGCAAATATTTATCACTTCATTACCATAAATGATCATAAATAGAAAGCTTCAGGTTTTGACAGTAATTGGCATCAAGCTTTAAGCAAGGAACAAAAATAAGTGTCACGATCTCAAGAATTGATGGCATTAAAGTGCTAAATCAATGGATGTCCTTTTTCTCTTAATTTATCGAAACATTTATGAAGAATGAAGGAAAAAATCGCAACGAAATTTGGGAAATCTCAACGCTCAGAAGTCGTTCATTAACCTTGATGACGCGTCTACGTGAAGAAATTGCGTAATTCTCGTAACTTTTCCGCTCTCTCGACATTTTTCTGTTTCGAAAACATAAATTTTGTTCTCGGAAAATGATAAATTATCCTTTACTAGAAAAAGAAAACATAAAAAATAAAATAACAAATGACAGTCGCGAAGAATGCTCACGCTGTTGATCTTAATTTTGTCGACAAAAAAAAGGGAAAAGAGTAAATTTAATCTGGTGAGTCTCAAAACATCGTCGTTTATCAATCGGAAAAGCATAAAATTCGAATGAATGAGCAGCAACTGTAGACGTAACAAGACACATTAATTTCGTTCATAAAGGTTAAGAATCGATTAAAGTTTAAAGGATTTTTGAATATTTTTATTTGCGTAGATATATCAGTGTCAAAATGTTTGTACGTCCCCCAAACATTTTCCAGATTTCTTTAAAAATAATGAATATGAACAGCTAACACTAAAATTTTTCCGTCTTTGTTGGCTTTCTGAATACGATTCAGTTTAAGTCCTTCACAATGAATTCCTGAGTAAGATAAATATGAAGCAATAAATTCATTTCATATTTTTGTTTTCTTCTGTCTCATTACAGGATATCATTTTCAAATTGGACAATTTTTGTTTTGAATCACTCTCTGTGGATATATTTTATGCTCATCACCCTCCAAGTGATTTACAGACATCAAATGATCATCCAATTGACATCAACTGGGATTCATCATCTCGCAATCGTTTGTCCAATTCAATGTCAGTTTAATGCGAACAAAGTTTGAACAAGCAATAGAAGTGTAACTAGAGGGACAATTATTAGTCATTATGGCATTCACAGCATCGTTGAAACGTTTGTTAGCTGGACTTCTCTTCGTCATGGCGATATTTCTTATGATCTTATATTTCAACGAAACTCGAAGCATTTTAAAGCCAGCTTCATCATTCTTCGTCACCAATTACGAGACAAGACACAACAAAATCAAGTTAGTTGGAGTTGTTGCCGAGAAAATGCGAATGTAACGCACATTTTTATTTTTATTTTATTATCAAATATTTTGCTTGCAAGTACAAAATTTGTAAATCAATGACCTGACATGTGGATGACGTCTTTGCAAAGAAAAAAATCTCTCATTATTTCTTCTCCTTTTCTATCTATTACAGCCACCAAAAGCTTTACAAAAGCTTCTTTTTTTCCTTCATGACAATTTGCAATCCATCACTTATTTATTTATGAGTATTTTCATGTTGTTTACTGTTCGTCTATGAGTGAAGGCGGATGGAAAATGATAAAATAGAAAAATGTATGGCCTTAGCCATAGAACTTATTGATTTTTATATTTTAAGTAAATTTCTCAAACCCATCAATTTAAATTTACATGAAAATTACTTTCCGCTTCCTTTTCTTTCTTTTTCTTTTTGGAAAATAAGAAAATGAAATTTTCATGTTCATTCTTAGCATAACAGAGAAAAGTCATTGTGCTCCACTTTCATTTCCACCCACACAACCATTGCATCTTTAATTTATGATGTTTATTTAATGATTATTTCTGCGGTCGTTGTGACACTTCAACCACCTCTTTGATATTTATCGCAATCAACAATGACACGAACAACTTGCATTCATTTGTCTCATGAGTCATTTCAAAGTTCTGCGAGCTTTTATTTAAATCACATTCTTGTTGTTTATTCAAAGTATTCGACAAGCAAATAATTTGTTGTCACATTGACGATAATTTCTTTTTTCTCTTCATAGTCCACCCGAGAAGACGTGGAGTTACAAATGTGTCAATAATCGTTGTATTCGAACACATTACTCGAGTAAGGATGTGAAACGTACGACTTTCCTTACATGTTCAATGCTCTGCGGCTCACAAACGTTGTGGCCTGAGCCGACAGTCAAATCACTCATTGGCACCAATGCGAATAGTTTTCGACTAGCAGATGTTAAGGTACTTTTTGTTCTACTTCTCAATTCAAAAGCGGATATGAAGAAATAACGAACAAATCATTAATTTCAGTACAAAGTTCAGACGCCATTCAAACATGTGGAGAGTTTAATGGAAAATGCATTTTCAATATTTTTGGAGGAAATAAAGCAAATTAGACGTGCATCTGGCGGAAAAGAAAAATCAGATGAGATGAAAAGTAGTACGAGGTCTTACAGGGAATCTACATATGCAGGAATCAGTAGCAGCAGTAGTCGGGAGATAGAAACACCCGCACATTATCGACGTAATCTAACAACTGTAAATATTTACGTGCATGTGATAAAAACTGCAGATGTTCATCTCACAATGAACACTGATGAATGCTACAACATGACATTGTCAAGTAAGAGTGTAAATTTATAGAGTAAACAATTCAATTATTGAATGAAATCAAATTTTAGATGAACGACAAATCATTGACGTGAGAATTTATGCAAATTCCTTTTTCGGTGCACGACATGGTTTGTCAACACTTCAACAACTGGTTTGGTATGACGATGAAGATGAAGTTTTGAAAATCATAAGTACAGCAAAAGTTGAAGATTGCCCGAAATTTCCGTGAGTTTAAAATAAAATTTTCGATTTAATTGAAGTGTAAATTCTTTGAGAAGAAACGATTGAAAAGGAAAAAAAAATCACAACAAATTTCCTCATTTCCTTCTTGTTAACGATTATAACGCAACGAAGGAATTTACATTTCAAATGTTTGTCATTTTATTTGAAAACAATTAAACAATTTACTTTTATTTTACTACTCTTAGTTATCGTGGGTTAATGCTTGATACATCGCGACACTATTTTAGTGTTGACGCCATAAAACGAACACTCATTGGAATGTCACATTCAAAGCTTAATCGCTTTCATTGGCATTTGACTGACTCTCAAAGTTTTCCCTTTGTTTCAAAGTTCTATCCAGAGCTGGCGAAGTACGGCGCTTATTCAACAAGCGAGATTTATACACATGACGATGTTAAAGATATCGTAAGATTTGCACAAGTTCGAGGTATTCAAATAATACCGGAAATTGATGCACCAGCTCATGCTGGAAATGGATGGCAATGGGGACCTCAAAAAGGTTTGGGAGAGCTGAGTTTATGTATCAACCAACAACCATGGAACGCTTATTGTGGTGAACCACCATGTGGACAACTTAATCCTAAAAATAATCACACTTACTTAATCTTACAAAAGCTTTATCAAGAGCTTTTAGAACTTACCGGTCCGACTGATTATTTCCATTTGGGTGGTGATGAAGTGAATCTTGAATGTTGGTCGCAATATTTCAACGATACTGATATTCGTTCACTTTGGTGCGATTTTATGTTACAAGCTCATCACCGACTTAGCGTAGCCAATAATGGACAAAAAATTAAAATGGCTGGCGTGTGGTCAAGCGGTTTGACTCAAATGCCTTGCTTACCAACAAAGAATTTTACTGTGCAAGTTTGGGGTGGCAGTCAATGGCCAGAGAATTATCAACTTCTTGATGCCGGTTACAACATAATTATGTCTCATGTTGATGCTTGGTATCTTGATTGCGGTTTTGGTAATTGGCGTGCAACTGGTAAATTTATTACATTGTCGTGCAAATATAAAATATAAACATTGTGGTTGAATTCTCAGGTGAAGCTGCATGTAGTCCTTATAGAACTTGGCAAACTGTTTATAAACACAAACCATGGCATTCGATGAGACTTAATAAACAACAACTTAAACAAGTAAATTAATTTCACATTAAATATTTAAAATTTTATTCATTTTAATCTTCTTTTCCAGGTTCTTGGTGGTGAAGTTTGTCTTTGGACAGAACAAGTTGATGAAAGTGTTCTTGATGCTCGATTATGGCCGCGATCATCAGCACTTGGTGAAAGACTTTGGACAGATCCAAATGATGAAAACGATTACGCAATTTCAAAAGAAACTTTCAAACGCTTTTCAATCTTTCGTAATCGTTTAGTTCAGTTAGGAATAAAAGCGGAACCGATTTTCCCCAAATATTGTGCTCAAAATCAAGATGAATGCGTATGACACTTGGAAGCTTTTTAATTTCCCTTTATTTTTCATTTTAATTCAGTTCTTGAAAATATTAAATTGCATATATCAGAGTATCGTCATTGTTATCTAATTGTTTGTATTTTTTTATTTCCTAATTTATTACTTTATTGAGAGAAATCTTTTTTGATTTTATTGAGTTTTATTAACAACATTTCGCATTCCATCATGTTTCATATTCCATGTCAAAAGTTCAAAGCTTTTGATACATAAAACGGGCTTAAAAATAACAAAGCTTCCTTCCTGCAATATGAATGTGATGAAAATTAAGATGACAAAAATGTATCAAGCAAATAATTTATGGTGGTTTGGAATGATGAAATTTATTGCTAACAAATCATCAATTTACAAACAATTCAAATGTTTTTGAAATGTAGAACAAACGGAGAAGGAAACTTTTGTTTTTCCTGTCGAAACCATCATCGTTATTCAGAAGAACGTTAATTGATCTACAACTAAGCATGATGTAGTATTAATGCATCTTCCGAGTCGACTCCTGACAACACACGGTCATAATCCAAATTAGCACAATAAAAAAAATTTTATTCTATACCTTCAAATATTCCGACCAATTTCCTAAATAATTTATTGTTCATCTTGAGTAAATGTTAAACATGTTGTAATCCTTGTTACTTAATTAACCGTTTAGAACAAAGTCTGGTGGTTATGGAAGCTTATAGCAGTTTTAGAAATCATCAACATGCCAACCTCATTCAACAAAATAAAAAGGAAATTAATGTTTAGATATGTACGACTAGGTAGCACCAATAAAGGGGAAATGTGTCACACATTGTTGCTTTGAATTTGCAAAGCAACAAGATAAATAAAAAGTATTCCTTACCAAAATGTTGAAATTTAAATTTTTCGATTTCTTTAAGTTTTATTAAGTTTTTAACATTTCATAACAAATCATAATAAGTTGAACAACAAAACACAAAATAAAAACATTAAAGAATTAAATCAAATGCGTGACCTTAACAAAGAAAACTTAGAGATTTGTTTGTTGATTATCTTGTTAATAATTCGAACTCATTTTTGACATTCTTTCATCTCCACTCATCTATGATTTCAAAAACAAAAAATTAAAACCTGAAATGACAAGATTTTAGGAATAAATGTATGTGATGATGAAATAAATACAGAATAAAATAAATATAGAAATAATAATTGAAAAATTTAATTTTTATGACTTTTCTTTAATTTATCTTTAATTCTTTGATAAAATCTGATCAATAATCTAATTAAAAAAAAAAGGAATTCACAGCCGACTACAACTTTTCTAAGACGACAGAGTTTAGCACTTTTTTAAATTATACAATCGTTCGTTAGCTCACTTTTTGACAATTTTAATATGGATACTAAATCTCGCACCAACATTTAATTAATTATAAAAACTTCTCAAGAAAATAAATAATTTTTGCCTATCATTGATTTTTCTATTATTTAGTTGAATTTTACCTGCAACAGTAAAAGTTTCCATTTGTCAACTCTTCTCACGTATGAATTCAATGAGCGAAACCTGTGATAAAAATGAATTAACATGTTCATCATCTCATAGAGCATTAAACACATTTTTCAGTTTATCCAACGAATAATATTAAAAAATAAAATTTGTTGATTTTGTCAAGTTTCTGTTTTATTTATTTTATTGGTTCATTCATAAAGATGACCAATAAATAGAAATCTAATGAAGTGAGTGGTAAATTGGACAATAAATTATTTTCAAATGATGACAGTCAAAACCTCCTTTAGTATTTCTGAACGGACACGAGGATTTCTTAAAAAGTTTTTGCAAGTTAAGTTTGTTTACATTTAATTAAATAAGGAAAAGTTGATTTAAGTTAGATTCTGTGATAAAATTGATAATATTAGGTATTATAATGTATGCTATTCTGTTGCAATTTGTTTCAAATGTAATTTTTATTCGATGTTAGCCTCTCAAACTGCGACATTTACACAACAACAAATGTAAAAATATTTTATGTTAACCGGACGAAACTTTGTTGTTAGTAAGTTAGATTCTTTTATTAATTTGTTACACTAGATATAATTAATGTATTTATTATCCACAGTTGCTTGAAAAGGATTCAAATAAAGAATCGAAACATGTTGCATTGAACGAAAAAACAAGTTGAATTTCATTTACACGACTGATAGCCGCTTTCATCTTACAATCATTAAATCCAGTCGAAATCCAAAAACATTTAAAAGTCAAAATTTTCAAGGAGATAAAAAATTCTTTCATTCTCATTTATTAATCAATAACCAATTCTTATAAGAAATTCAAATAACAAACAATTAAAAGTAAACATCATTTCGTCGTTCT